GTTGGGCCCGACACGTCCATGTGGGGAGTCTGCAGCGGAGCCTCTGTCGGAGGAAACTTGGAGGAGTGAGGGGCGGCGCGCTGTCGCCCCTCCACGCAGGAGACGTAGGCAGGGCCAGGCCTCGGAGGTAGGGGAGGGAGAGAGCGAGGGAGACCAGAGACAAGGACACGGGAGGCCATGCCTCGGAGACGAGGCAAGGAGGGGTGACCAAGGCGGTGGTGCCAAAGGAGAGTCTGGTGGGACAGTAGACGAAACGAGCAGGGAGGAGACTCAGGACCAGACCTGGACGCTGCAGCAAACACATGACTCGACGCAGCTACCTGGGCACACTCAGCAGCCGGAGGAGACTCAGTGGTAAGGGTGTACAGGCTCGACCCTGGCCGACGGGTGAACGTGGCCAAGTGTCGGCCTGTCCGAGCACACGTGCAGTGGGTCACCCGCTGACTCGCAGGAGTGAACTGGTCAACCCCCCTATCGTGTAGGTCCGCTACACTCACCAAGTTCGTAGAGAACGAGGGGAGGTAGAGACCTGACAGGGTGCCAGAGGGGGCTGCCGGGCACGGTAAGACAGTGAAGAAGCTAGCAAGGACAGGACCCCCAGAGGGGTCCGCCAGGGAGACTGCAACTGGCCGACTGAGCGGCGTAAGAGTGGTGCGGTCTCGAAAGAAGGAGTGGGACGCACCCGAGTCAAGGGTGAAGGGTGTGTAAGGCCTGAGCCGACGTAGTACCTGAGAGCGCAGACTCACCAGCACCTGGGGCAGCGGACGCACTAGTACCTGGGGCAGCAGACGCACTAGCACCTAGAGCAGCAGCCTCAATGCCCGGGTCAGGCGGTACACACATGTAACAGTCACCCGCAACATTATCATCAACAGCATACATGGCAGCAAGAATAGCATCAAAATCAAGATCAAAGATAGCAACCCCCGCCCTAGACAGCTCTCCCCAGCGAGGGATCTCAGAGGCCCTAGGGAACTGGTGACGCCACGCGTCCGTCAGGCGGCCGAAGCAGCGCTGGGTGGAGTGCGGGCCCCCGCACTGCTCACCAGCGCGGTTGCCGGTGCGGAGAACGTAGGTGCAGGGACCCGTACCCCCACCGCGCTGACGCACAGCGTACCACTCACGAAGCTGCTGAGGGGACAGGGTCTCACGATTGCTCTGCTTCTGCTGGCGCGTACCACCACCGGAGCCACTCCTCTGCACAGAGCCGCGACCAGGTCCACTTCTGCCGCCGCCGCCTCCACCGCCTCCTCCACCTCCCCCTCCTACGCCACCTCCGCCGCCTCCGCTCCCTCCGCCACCACCGCCGCCTCCTCCGCCTCCACTGCTGCCGCCGCCGCCACCCCCGCCACCACTCCCACCACCACCCCCACTCCCTCCACTGCCTCCACCACCATCTCCACCGCCCCCGCCAGCCCCTCCAGCGCCCTTGCCCCCCTTGCCCTTGCCGGTGCGGCGTCTCCCGCTAGGGGCAGACGCAGCGCCGACCGACTCGAAACCAACGAGGTCGGCGGCAGCAGCAGAAGCAACAGAGGGCAAGAGGGGGGAGGGGGAACACCCCTCAAAGACGGGGGTGCGAGGGTCACCACGAGAGGCTCCTACAGCGACTATGCTCTTCTCTGCTGCTAGGAGGCCCTTCTCGAGGAGCTCAACGGTGAGAGTGGTGGGGCAGACGTAGAGGAAGTGGTCCCTGACTACGCGAAGAGAGTCAGGGAGCCGGGTGACTATGTAGTAGAGGGTGATGAACATGGGGTGGGGTTCTTGGCGCAGAACTCAGCAGGAAGCGCAGCGCGGTAGCGAGTGTCACTAGTACGGAGGTGCGTAATGAGGTCAGCGACTGTGGGAAAGGCAGCAAGGTCAAGGAAGAGGTACGGTACCATGAGGCGGCTCAGTGCAGCAGTGGCAGGGGAAGAGTAGCGTGCAACTACAGTGTCGAACAAGGTCTGAGCACTCTTGTATTGGCTAAAGTGTGCACGCTCAATGGTTGGTAAGTGGCGAAGCACAGCAAGGCGAGCAGCAGCATCGCGTGTGGCCCAGTGTGAGCGAACAGTGCTGTCAGCAGTAGCAGGCGGGGCAGGAGAGACACCAGAGGTGAGATCGAACAGAGAGAGTCCGTTTGCCCTATCGCACTGGAGAAATAGCTGGAGGTCATCGACCCAGACCTCAAAGTCAACGGCACGGCCCTCAGCATCAAAAGTAAGGACACTGGGGGTAGCCATGACTGAAGTGGCCTAGCAGGAAGTGAGCTCACCAGTCCGAGGAAGGAGGGCCGGGAAGCACCGGTAGGAACAGCAGCGGCTCGACAGTAGGGCAGCTCGGCGGCTCGGCGGCAGGGCGGCTCGGCGGCAGGGCGGCTCGGCTGCTGGGCGGCTCGGCGGCAGGGCGGCTCGGCTGCTGGGCGGCTCGGCGGCTCGGCGGCTCGGCTGCTGGGCGGCTCGGCTGCTCGGCAGGTGGGTGGCTTGGCTGCTGGGCTGCTCGGCGGCTCGGTCGCTGGGCGGCTGAGCGGTGACAGGGCCGCTAGGGGAGGGCGACGGGGCCGCAGGTGACGGCGACGGGGCCGTAGGTGGCGGGCAGGTGGCGGCTGCGTGGCCGTAGGTGGCGGCGACGGGGCCGCAGGTGGTGGCGACGGGGCTGCTGGTGGTGGCGACGGGGCCGCACGTGGCGGAGACGGGGCCGCGGAGGTGCCGGAAGGGGCCTAGACGGGGCCGTAGCGGGCCCGCAAGGGGCCTAGACGGGGCCACGGAGGGGCCGTAAGGGTCCTAGACGGGGCCGTAGCGGGGCCGCAAGGGGCCGTAAAGTGCCTAGGCGCGGCCGTAGCGGGGCTGCAAGGGGCCTAGGCGGGGCCGTAGCGGGGTCGCAAGGGGCCTAGACGGGGCCGTAAGGGGCCTAGGCGGGGCCGACGGGGCCGTAAGGGGCCGGAAAGGGCGCCGCGAGGGGCCGAAAGAGGGTCGCGCGAGGGCCGTAAGGGCGACGCGAGGGGCGTTAAGGGGCCGTAAGGGCGGCCCGAGGGGCCGTAGAGGGCGGCGCTAGGGGCCGTAAGAGCGGTGCGAGGGACCGTAAGGGCGGCCAAAGGGGCCGTGAGAGGGGCCACTAAGGGCGGCTCGAAGGTAGGGAGGGCACACAGAGCGCGACTCGAGCAGGAGTGAAGAGCGCTCCGGGCAGGAAAAAAAAAGTATCGTGGTGGGCCCTAGGTAGCGTTCCCACCAGGGAACCTGCTCGAAACCATGACGAGAAACGAGAATGAATGCATTGAGCAAAATGAGGAGTATAAGTAGTAAACCCTAAAGTGTTGTACCCGATATGAACTGCCCCACTACAGCCTACACAGACTATAGCATATATGCCTGACACTCGTAACCCTAAAACCGAAGTTGCAAGCTACCGAATAGTCCTCTAGTGCTTCGTACAAAAAAATCTTAGAGGAGTATAGTTGACCTTCACACAACGGTGCTCGATCGTCTATGACGATTTGTGGCGATGGGGCCTCGTCGACGACCATTTCCCGCAGCAACGCACGGTACATATCACTTTGTTTGGGCTCTCCAGTTCCAACGAAGCAAAACTCTGTGTCGATATCGCCTGAGTCGGACTCTGTGTTAGAAGTATAAGACGTCGAACTCTTTGCGGCTATTATGAACGTTCTAACCGTAGGACCTCCTAGATGAACCTCCTTTAAGGACCTAATTGGCCTAATCAAGGGCTAAGGTAGATGTGAACCCTAAAACGACGAGAGGAAATGGTGTGAGCGATCTGTAGCATATGGATCAAATGATAAAGCGCGGGAAGTTGAAAAGGGCGTACCAAACCAGTTCGAGCGCGTTAATTCGAACCTTTTGTGCGAGAGTATGTAGTATATGATTGGCGGGATCATACAGTAAATTGTTTTTAATGAACGCGTTCAAATATGATCGGCAATCCGTAAAGCTTGCGCCTGATTGGACGCGCAGAGGCAACAAATGCACCGCTCTATCTCGTGGCCAATGGAGCGCGGTCGTTTTTGCTGTGTCGGTTCGTTTCGGTCAAATGGAGTATATGATCGCGAAGTCATATGCTCGATCGTTGATTGGATGTTAATTAGATTGACCGCGCGCTCATTGGTCGCGCATTTGGATGAAACTGACCGGTCAATGTACTGCTGGTCGGTTTCTTGTACAGTGGGCGGGCCAATTTCGCGCCCGTAAGCCTGGCGAAAATTTTGGGTGCGGAACAGAACGGAACACTACCTCGGGATACCACTCCCACGAATGAGGAATTTCGGGGCTACAAAGCCCCGTAGGGTAATGCGCCGATGAAAAAAGCGAGCAGGAATCACCTGGCAGGTGATTTCGCAGGCAAATGGTCCCTCTCGAACGATGACCTCCCTCTTTATCGTCGAGTGGCCGCCCATCACCTGCTGTTTGTTCTTTCTTCCGCCATGGTTACTGTTCGGAGGTATGGTAGGGTAAGCGCCATTGCACCCATTGCGCCGAAACGCCCCCCACTACCTCGCCTCCCCCAAAACCACACCCTCTCAGCTCCGCTCTTCCGATATCCACCTCCGCTCGCCAGAGAATCCATTCTTGTTTTACCCTATCGGAGACCAGAGAATCTAGAATTCCTGCTCTGTTGCGAGCCGCCATCCCAGATGCAACCTGCGCGCTCACATGCGCGCACTCAATCTTCGCCAAGTATTGCGCTTGCCGCCCAGTCCCTCACGATGAACCACTCCACAGCCCCCCGTTCCATTCACAGGCCCATTCAAAACAGGCTTCATTATCGACCTGCTGCTCCAAAGCGGACACTTGTCATCCGCGCTGCGGCGCGGCCGGCTGGAAACTGGATGGGGTAGGAGCGAAGCATGCGGGTGTTACCCCGCTTGAGTGGGGTGAACTGGGAAAGGAGAGCGGTGCAGCTGCTTACTATCCACCACGGAGATCCCGTGAGCCAACGAACATAGTTTCACCTGCTCCAGCCGCTCGCTAACCACACGGAAGATTTGACGATTCTGGTACACGAAAGCAATGTTTGGGATCCACAGGAAAATCAGCAGCAACAACATGGCACCCGTCCTCCCTTTCCTCCTCCTACTCCTCCTCGGTTCTCACACAATCGACGCTCGACCGACCGTCAATGCCTTACTTTCCACCTTCCGCGGCCCAGCGCGGCTCCTCCAAGCCGCGGCGGAATGCACGGGAGCGTCGGAGGCCTGCCCCGGCGGCCGCGGCGGCTGCGTCGCAACGTCGCGCCTCTGCGATGGCGTGCCTGACTGCGGCGACGCGAGCGACGAGGGCGTCGACTTCTGCGACGCGCTGCTGTACCCGCCGTACGAGGAGGGCAGCGTGTGCAACCCCGAGCAGTTCCAGCTCTACTGCCCCAGCGGCGGCGGGTGCATGCAGGAATCCGAGGCGTGCGACGGCAAGCCCAACTGCGCCGACGGAAGCGACGAGTCGCTCGCGTTCTGCACGAACTTCGTCTGCGACAACGTTGGGAGGGTGCGTGCTGGTAACGATGTTACGGCTCGCAGAATTCGCCGTCTGCGAGGCCTACGTTGCTTGTACTATGGATTTCTGAAAGCTTCGCTGATGGAGTGTTTCTCCGGGGCATTGTTTCCTTCCATGTGTCCTCGTTCGCCGAGCCCCCAACCAACTACCCCCCACACCCCTCTCCCCTGCCACACCTTTTCCTCCCCTCCTCCTCTCCCCTCCCCCATCAGCACCACCCAACACCCCCCTTTCCCTTCTTCCGCATCCCCTCTCCCCCACTCTGTGTTCTTTTCTACCCTGCCCATTCTCTCACCCTCTTTGATTTTCCTTCTTCGTCCTGGTCTCTCAACTCATTTTCATTTCCTTTTCCCCCCTGCTAGTTCTCTTTCCCCCTGTGTGTTGTGTTCTTCCCTGCCTATTCTTGATCCCCCTTTGTGTTTCCTTCTTCCAGTCCCCCTCTCCCGCGTCTATATTTCCCTCTGCCGTCCCGGTTCTCTATCCTACCCAGTTCTTCCTCCTTCCCTGCCCCTTCTCATCCCCACTTAGGCCAACTGCCCATCTAGGATAGGCTGCATAACCAGCGTGGCAGGCTGTGCAGACAGCAGCGACGAGGGACTAAAATGCCCCGGCTAACAAGACGGCTCATCTGCGTTCTCACCGCGACTCTGTCTTTCCTTCTTCCCTGCCTGTTCCCTTTCCTTCCTCTCCTGTCTATTTTCTTCACCTCTGCTCATTCTCTTCCTCACCAGGCCTACTGCCCGCCAACGCCCGGCTGCATGCCCCTGGACGGCGATTGCAACGGTGCCGTAGACTGCACGGACGGCAGTGACAAGGGGCTGGCAGTGCCTGGATCAAGACGGCTCATATGTGTTCTCCTCCCTCTCTCCGTGTTTCCTTCGTCCCTGCCCATTCTCATTCCTTCTGTCCAAGACCGTTTGCATGCCCCCGGGTGGCGAATGCAACGGCGTGGGTATACTCTCCCCCACTCTGCGTTTTCCCCTTCTCTGCCCGTTCCCTCCCCCCCCCTCGCTTTATCAAGGCGGCTCATCTGTGTTCTCTCCCCTACACTGTGTTTCCCTCTTCCCTGTCAATCCCCTTCCTCCCTGTCGATTTTCTTCACCCCTACTCATTCTCATCCCCACCAGGCCTACTGCCCGTCTAAGATCGGTTGCATGCCTCTGGGTGGCGAGTGCAACGGTGTGGTCGACTGTGCGGATGGCAGTGATGAGGGACCCCAATGCCCCGGGTATCAAGGCGGCTCATCCGGCAGTGGTGGCACGTCAACAACAAACAGCACTGCCCCTAGCACCGGCAGTGACGGGTCGTCTGACTCATCAACGAACGGCACTGCTCCCAGCAGCGGAGGCGGGTCCGTGACTGGAGGCGGGTCCGTGACTGGAGGCGGGTCCGTGACTGGAGGCGGGTCCGTGACTGGAGGCCCGGCTGTGTTGAGTCCTGAGGCTAAGAATGCAGCTTTGGAGGCAAAAAAGAAGAAGCAGGCAGAGAAAGCGGCGGCAATTGCTGAGAAGAAGCGGAAGCAGGAGGAAAAGGCTGCTGCGATTGCGGAAAAGAAGAGGAAGCAGGAGGAAAAAGCGGCCGCGATCGCGGAGAAGAAAAGGAAGCAGGAAGAGAAGGCAGCTGCGATTGCAGAGAAGAAGAGGCTGCAAGAAGCGAAGGCTGCTGCTGTTGCTGAGAAGAAGCGGAAACAGGAGGAGAAGGCCGCTGCGATTGAAGCAAAGAAGAAGAAACAGGCTGAGAGGGCCGCTGCTATTGAGGCTAAGAACTCACGAGTGGAAGTACGGTAGTTGTGAGGAAATAAAGAGGAACAGCTGCACAAACTTGGAGCAGCGTTTCCAAATAAGAATTGATTTTTTTTGTCGGGTGAAATCATGATGAACAGTATTCTCTCCATTTTGTTCTCCACTTCTCCAAATCTGTGGTTTTGACTACTGCTGAAGCTGATTGCAGGCCTACGGTATGCACACCAACAAAATAAACATACCGTAAGTTGTGCCAAGTACCATAGAAGGTTTGCTTCAGACGAATAAGAAGCTGTTATGGAGAATAAATAGATGGGTATGTACTGCTTGCACGTCTTTCACGGAAGGAAAGATCTCACAATAAATAAACTCAGTTTCTCTGGGGCACACAAGCTACGGTACTGTAAGTTGTTCCTTTGGCTCGGCACCAGAGATGATACCTACCGTAGTTCAAGCTGAGCTTAGTGCAGTCCTAATACCTATCCTACGTCAGACACGAGATGGCACTTACAGAGAAGTCGAAGGAGTGTGCCTGAGGCAACACTGAGGCAGCCTGAACTGATGGAATAGTCCAACCTAGTAGTAAGGACTATTCCTTTTTGCCCAGATACCAGCAACAACCTCGGATGCAGGCCCTCAATTTCGTTTTTGGCCTGTCTGATTCATCATACTAGTACACAATTTGAGTATGAAACCCTAAGAATTGGTATACGGTAAAAGAAAAGCTGAAATTTCAGAGTGCCTAACCTCTTTCCCTCCCTGTTAGCCCTCTTTTCCTCCCTGCTAGCCCTCTTTCTCTCCCTTCTAGCCCTCTTTCCCTCCCTGCTAGCCCTCTTTCCCTCCCTGCTAGCCCTCTTTCCCTCCCTGCCAGCCCTCTTTCCCTCCCTGCTAGCCCTCTTTCCCTCCCTCTCCCTGCTAGCCCTCTTTCCCTCCCTTCTTTCCTTCCCTGCTTGCCTTCCCTTCTTGCCTTCCCTGCTTGCCTTCCCTGCTTGCCTGTCAGAATGAGGAATGATGATGCCATTGATGTTGGTTGGGGTACATATAACAAACCCTAACTTCTGTACCCCCTAAGACAAACCTCACTACAGGCTACAACATTTGACACACCCCCATAGCCTAAGTGAGGGGTGTCTAGCAAAATAAAAAAGAGTACGGTCACAAGACCAGTCCAAAAGAAAACAAAGCTCAGGGTGGATCACAACGTCACCACACTCTCTGAGCACAAGCAACAGTGGCCACAAGGCCAGTCCAAGAGATCACAAGTATATATAGCAAGAGTACAGACGAAGCAGGCAATAAACTCAAGCCTACACATGACTAGAACCCGTGTCAACAAGGCCTAACTGCACACAACACCTCTGGTGGTCACGAGGCGGAAGCGCCTTGGTGAAGATGTCTGCAGTGTTGGCCTCGGACTCCACAAACTCGAAGCGAGCTTGTCCACGTCTCTGCAACTATCGCAGAAGAAAGTACCTGACGTGAATGTGCTTCACTCTGCTCTCCAGTCGCGGCTCACGACAGAGGAGGATCGACGCCTTGTTGTCAGTGAACAAGGTCGGTGCAGAGCTCGGCCGCTCACCAAGGTCGGCGAGCAAGAAGGTCAACCAACGCAACTCCTGTGCCGCCATGGCACCAGCGTAAATCTCAGCCTCAGCTGTAGAGGTCGAGACAGAAGAGGAGCGCGTGGAACGCCAGGAAACAGCTCCAGAACCCAGACTGAAACAATACCCCTGAGTAGACCTGTGAGTCTCAGCGTCGTCAGCGTAAGAGGAGTCACAGTGACCAGTGAGTACGACAGACTGCTGCCCTCCAAGAACTAGCCCCACGCCTGATGTAGTCGCTAGGTACTTCGCCACCCTCACAGCTGCCGTCCAGTGAACAGGACGGTGTCTCCCTGGCGCAACAAAGCGCGCAAGGATGCTGAGAGGGAAGGCGAGGTCCGGGCGAGTACAAGTCATCAGGTACATGAGGCAACCCACAAGCTCTGCGTAGGGACCACTAGGCTCAAACGGCTCGTCAGGAAAGGGACCAGTGAGTCTGTGGTCAACAGCGAGAGGTGTGCGCTGTACGGTGGAGTGCTGAAGCCCGAACCGCTGAAGGACCTGCTGCACCATGTGTGACTGTGAGAGTGTAATGGTGCGAGCGGCTCTGTCCCTGGTGATCTGCAGGCCAAGGTAGTGGCGCAGTTCACCAAGATCAGTGCACGTGTGTCTCTTCTGCAGTTCGGACTTCACGTCTGCCAAAGCAACCCTGTCCGGGCGGGACAGGACAGGGTGACGGGACGAGGGGGGAAGGGCGGGCACGACGCGACGGGGGGAACGGGCGCGACGCGACGGGGGGAAAGAGCGCTAGGCGACGGGGGGAAAGGGCGCGACGCGACGGGGGGGGGGGGGGGGGGGAAGGGCGCTAGGCGACGGGGAGAAAGGGCGCTAAGCGACGGGGGAGAGGGCGCTAGGCTCGGTACTAGGCGCGGTAACCACGGAACCGGTACGAACGAGAGGTAGGATCAGGCTCGGGAGGGACGAACGGAGAACTGAGGAACGGGATCCCACAGGATCCTAACCTAGCTGATACCATGTCAGAATGAGGAATGATGATGCCATTGATGCTGGTTGGGGTACATATAACAAACCCTAACTTCTGTACCCCCTAAGACAAACCTCACTACAGGCTACAACATTTGACATTGCCTTCCCTGCTTGCCTTTCATGCTAGACAAAGGGGATTTTTGGGAGAACATGCTACCGTCAGCCCCCGGATAGAAGCGCCCCTGGGGGTAAAAAAACCCTGTTTTTTAGGGGGTACGCTTATATTTGAGGATTTTTATAAGCGCCGGGGCTTATATAGTGACATATATGAAATCTAGTTTGTTTTACACTAAAGTGTTCATCTCGTCCTTGCGATCTGAATCGAATCGATATTGTAGAGGGCATTGAATTTGAATTTCATGTGAATTGGCAGTGGCTGATTCCCTGCCAACACACACAGTCAGAATGAGTCAGATTTTTTTTTTTTTGATGCGAAATACACTAAAAAAAAGTGCAAAATACATCGGCAGTCGTAACTGTAGCTGATGGGCCTAGGGGGATATCGCCCTCCGTACCCATCCTGAGCCTCTAAGGGGGACGGAAAGCAGCCCTCGGGTTCGACCAGATGGCCATGAACCCTTTAGACCACGTGGCCGGTTGTGCTGTGTTGTCGAGGATGTGACTCAAGACCCGGCACTCGTCATCATCCAGTCCATGACGAGTGGCACCGAGCCTCTTGGATGCCGCCTTGGCACGCTTGTAAATTCTGACGTGCAGCTGGAAAGACGCCGCAATCCTCCGCAATGCCCTTTTGGCTCGGAACTTGCTCCGTTCAAAGACCGCATCGCACCTCTCCACCCAGATTCGGTGAAGAGCGATCGCTGTAAGCGAAGCCTCGGGAAAGCCCGAAGCTGTCCCCTCCTTCTTGAAAACCAGGTCCCCCAGCGTTTCGATCTTCCGATGCGGATTCAGCATGCGGAGTGCCTTCAGTAATGACCGAACCACCGGCTGGATACGCGGGCAGAGAAATAGCCCGTGCTCCAGCGTCTCCCTCTCCCCGCAATGCGGACATGCAACACCAGTACCCAGGAAATGCAACCGCTCCCCCACCTGCAGGTTTCGGCTGTGGATCCGGAGCATCACGTCCCTCGCCCGGTTCGGAAGGGCCGTTGAGTCCCTTACGTCGATCACCCTCTCCCAGTCAATCTGACGGCCGAGGGTCTCCTCCCACGTGGCTTGCTGCTTCGGCTTCCCGCCCCACCGCTTGAAACCCTCCTTCAACTGTTTCAACTGCGCCGGACGGTCCCCATCCCAGATGGGCGAGCACAGCAATCTTTCTTTAGGGGCGCCAGCAGGACCAAGAAAACGGCCCTCCCTGACCACCGCAGGTATCACCTCGCGCGGCTGAAAACTGCGCAACTTCTCCTCCGCATCTCCCAGCGCCCCCCGAAAACAGCTGATAGCTCGGCAGACTAGGGTTTCCCCCTCCACACATTCAATCCTCCAGACCCCGTGGCTCGTCCCTGCCTTCAGCACGAACTTAGAGGCAGCTAGCACAGTATGCGCCGTGACAGGCGCCAGTAGCAACTGTTTCCACTCATCCGGGGCAGCGACAAAAACCCTCCTCGCCAGCTTCGCCCCTGCTGAACCCCCGAACTCCCGCTCGAGCTCCTGGGTGCCCTTAAGAGCCCTCGAACCGTCCTCAACGACATTAATTAAGTCCTTCATGACAGACCGCTTCAGACCTTTAGCCGCCTTCTGCCGTCCCGCAGGTGTCTTCCCGTTTAGAAGCAGCATCCGATTGAAGAGCAGCAGCTCATGTTCCACATCCCAAACCGACGACACGCTGATGCACGAGGGGAAGCTAGACTCCAGGAACAGCTCGCAGGTCCGCTTCCACCTCATACACCTCCCTTCCCACTGCTTTATCAACCCCGTGTGCGCCCAGAAAACCTGAAGATCGGGGACATCCAGTGCTGCTAGAGCAAGATCGGCGCGCAGCCCCAGCGGCTGTGACGCCAGCAAAGCGATCCTCCTGGCTGCGAGGCCCCCCAGCTCAGCACACGGATCCCGGACACCTAGACCACCTTCTCCTCTCCCCTTGAACAGCAGCTCTTGACTCCAGAGCGCAAACTGTTTCCCCGCTGTCGAGTGGTTACCGGTGACGAAGTTGTGAAGCAGCTTCACCAGCTTCGCCCAGATCTCTCTTGGAGGGGGATATACCTGTGCCTGGAAAGCGAGGATCGGGTTGATGTACCCGTTGACCACTGCGACCCTGCCAGACGTAGTCAGGTAATGAACCTGCCACTTCAACAGCTCCGATGTCGCCCTCACCAGGGTGATTTCCCAGGTTACCAATGCGTCTCCTGAGGGTGAGACCCACACCCCCAGGACCCTTTCCGCTTCGCTCGGCAGCACCCATTTGAAAGCTGATTTCTTGTCTGGCTTCTTACGCAGGTTCCCCCCCAAGGGCATCAGCGCGGACTTGTCATTGTTAACCCGGAGCCCCGATTGATCTCCAAACTCGTTCAGCAACTTCACCGCTCGTCCAACCTGCCTTTTCCCCTTGAGCACCAGCGTGGTGTCATCAGCACCGCTCCTCTCGGACTGCGGCAACCGCTTTTGCCGCTCCCGGCTTGCTGACCTCTGCTGCCTTACACCTCCATATGCCAGGCCCCATACATAATTGCAGGCTGACTTTGAAGGTCACCTTAACCCCGAACCAGTGATCCAAGAGGCCTTTCAGCGGACGACAATGCGACGCATCTGTGAGCAACGGCATCAGCGGCGCTGAAACAAGAGCCCGATCAATACGTGAGCTGGTCTTGGCAGACCTGGATAGAAAAGTGAACTCCTTCAGCACCGGATTCATCCAGCGGAAAGCATCGGCAAGGCAGTGTGCAGAGCAAATCTGCACAACGCTGCTATTCTCGCCCGATGAACCCGCTCCGGACGACCTGTCCAGCAGAGGGTCCTCCACCATGTTAAGATCCCCTATCAGAATGAAATTTTGCTTCCCCGTAGAATTCGCCATGAAAGGAGCAAGCACGCCAGCATAAAACGGTCGCCGCCTGCATGCCTTTGCCGGGAAATAAGCGGCCAATATCGTGCAGCAGAAGGAGTCCCACCGGACATCAGCCTGAAGTAGCCGGCCCGAACTGTGCGCGACAAAATTAGTGAAAACGAAAGACTTGTTAAAGCTTAAGATGGCTACCCCCCCTGCCTTCCCCGCCGGACCAATGGCGTGACAGTGTGGAACTTTGAGCCTCTTCCAGAAGTCGTGACCTGCACCAATGCGTGTGTCAGCTAAGACGAAAATGTCAGGTGGCTTCTTTAACCATGCCTTCAGATGTTTCTGTTTCCCTCTGCTCCCGAGCCCGTTGACGTTGAGCTCGCGTATTGTCAGGTAAGAGGCTCTATTCATTGGGAAACCGCCGAGAAGCCCCAAGCATCCACGGGCTGAATGAGACACAGGCAACAGGCTCATATAAGGCAAATACAGACTCGAGTGACCCTAACGTGCAGACACATCCCCTCCTTATCCCATCTACACCCCATAGTCCTTCTTCAGGTGCTTGAGGTTGATCTTCCCCTTCAGCAACCGGAGCGACTCCCCCCCCTTTCGGGCCCCATGTCGGTGCCGCTGGGACAGCGCATGATGTGCAGCCTGCTCGAACGACGAACCATGAGCTTTCTCGCAGCTGTCCTGAAGACAAACCCACTCCTCCCGATTTCCGCTGGTGGAAATCAGCACCAGGGACGGGTCCTTGAGAATGATCTTGGTCGTATCTGATGCAGTGGTCGCAGCAGCTGCGGAGCAACGACGTGAGTACTCGGGAAAAGACGTAAGCTGAAAACGACAGCGAAAAGAAAGGAACTCCAGCAGCGACATCGCAAACAGCACAGCTACCATTTAGCTCATGGACCCTCCCAACAGTAAGGTGCCATTTGGTGATGTTGTTCTGTCGTTCGACGACGAAGTCATTGTGGTTGTGGATCGAGTGATGACCTCCGCACAGGCTGCAATTCAAAGCCGGGTAATGAATCAGCAGAATCTCGTCCTTGTTGAGCGGATTTTCAATGTAGTGCTTCCACCGGTACAAATCTCCCTCGTGAGCAACCACCAGTCCCTTGACCCGATCCGTGTCCAGGCCAGTTACCGAGTTGACCGCACGATGGAAACACAAACCATCCTTAAACACCGACTTCTTTTTCTTCTTGAGCGGAGCCATCAGCATCCCGTGAGCATCACAGGTGAAATCTCGGCAGGAACCTCCTTGAAGTATAACTCAATCACCGCCGGGTTCGTCGCCTTCTGCCTGGCGAAAGCGGGATCTTCCGGGTATTGCCAGTCAAAAATAACGTAAGTACCATTCTTGCACTTATGCTCAACCTGATTACGCCACACAAAGTTAGCATCAGACGCCTTATCAAAAGTAACTTGCATGCGACCATAATACTTCTTGTACAGGAAACTAGATGGCAGCTGCTGATATGTCGTGGTGACCTGAGCCTCATCTGACAGCTCATCCTTCCGAATTCCTACCAATCCCTTAATCGTTGCCTGTGAGCGAGGAACTTCCGGCAGAAACTCTTCAGAGATCAGCAGCGTGATCGGATAACGGGAGCGCGACGCGATCTCTCCTTTTGACGCTTCCTCGACCTCCTCGTCAGAGTCATAAGCAATAAGCCCATCATCCTCATCGTTGAGCAGGTGAGAAACCCCCGATGGACCCGAGCCATCATCAGCAGCATCATGCGCGTCATCATCTTCGTCACCATGAGTCCCATCTTCGCCTTCTGGAGCGTCAGTAACAGCATCCTTGAAAATGAATTTCTCCTTACCCTTCTTGCTTTCATTCGCAGCTTCCTCAATGCGAAAAGCTGCGAGCTTCGCCGAGAGAGTCAGAGCGTCAGAATCATCAGGCTGAAAAGGGCCTTTGGACACCTTCATGGCGGTAGCAGACTTAAGCGGAAGCCTTGACAGAATGAGTCAGATTGACTCCCTGCCAACACACACAGTCAGAATGAGTCAGATTGACCCCATGACAACTCATTCTGACTGGATGCGAAGGCATTGAGTCGCGCGAGGTGCAAGGGTTTCGAAATTACGAATGTAGGGATGCAATATTGTTTTTCGTTTCAGCGTTTTCAGTAAAAAAATAAAAAAGTATTACACAGGGTGGCTCTTATAATCCGTAAGCCTTCAGGGGTGCGCTTATAATCGAGGACCGGATATAAGCGCCTGTCAGAACATTATAGCTGACTTATTTGTGTAGGCTATAGTGGGGTATCCCATAGGGGGTACAACCCAATTAGGGTTTCATATTTGTACTCACTTCATTCATAGTTCATTCATTCTCGTTCATACTTTCTCATGGTATCAGAGCAGGTCCCTTCCTAGGGACCGTTCCTAGGGCCCACCGAAGCGCGCCCCGAGGCGCGCGTTTTTTTTTTTTTAGCGACCCTTCGTGTCGCCCTCACCGCCGTGCTCCCGATTAGGCCCCTCGTCGGCCCCACTTAGGCCCCTCGTCGGCCCCACTTAGGCCTCTCGTCGGCCCCGCTTAGGCCCCTCGTCGGCCCCGCTTAGGCCCCTAATCGGCCCCACTTCGGCCTCGTCGGCCCCGCGTAGGCCCCGTCGGCCCCGCTACGGCCTCGAGTCGGCCCCGCTTAGGCCCGGACGGCCCCGCTACGGCCCCGCTACGGCCCCTCGTCGGCCCCGCTTAGGCCCTGTCGGCCCCGCCTAGACCCCGTCGGCCCGCCGTCGCCCCCGCTACAGCCCGCCGTAGCCCCCGCTACAGCCCGCCGTCGTCCCTCACTACAGCCCGCCGCCGGCCCCGCTACTGCCAGCCGTCGGCCCCGCTACAGCCCGCCGCCGGCCCCTGCTACAGCCCGCCGTCGGCCCCGCTACTGCCCGCTGTCGGCCCCACTACAGCCCGCCGCCGGCCCTACTACAGCCCGCCGTCGGCCCACCGTCGGCCCTGCTACAGCCCGCCGTCGGCCCTACTACAGCCCGCAGTCGGCCCTGCTACAGCCCCGCTACAGCCCCGCTATGGCCCGCCGTCTGCCCCGCCGCTCGTGCTGCAGCCCGCCGCGCCACCGTGCAGCCGCCCGTGCAGCCGCCCACCGTGCCGCCCGTGAGCAGCTCCAGCCGCCCGTGCAGCCGCCCGCGCCGCCCGTGAGCCCCTGCGTCACCCGAGCAGCGCGAGCCGCCCGAGCCGCCCGAGCCGCCTGAGCTGCCCGAGCCGCCCGAGCCGCCCGAGCCGCTGCAGCAGCCCGAGCCGCCCGAGCCGCAAGAGGAGCCGCGCTCCTGCGTCTGTGGGACCACTGCTGCTCCTGGGCTGTGTTGCTGTGCCGCTGACCTACCCGAATTTACCTGCCCGGTGAGACTGTCAGCTGCTGTAATGGCCACCCCCACGGTCCTAGCTTTTGACGCTGAGGGTAGAGCCATTGACTTTGCAGTCTGGATTGAGGACCTACAACTGTACTTACTGTGTGATGCAATAGATGAGGTCTCTCTCTTTGACTTTGTCTCTGGCGCTGTCCCTGCCCCTCCTGCTGATGCTGACCCCGCCGTTCGCTCCAAGTGGGCGACCCGCGATGCTGCTGCACGTCTTGCTGTGCGTCGCCACCTCCCTTCCTCCGAGCGTGCCCACTTTAGTCAGTGCAAGACCGCTCAGGCCTTGTACGACGCTGTAGTTGCGCGCTACTCCTCCCCTTCCTCTGCTACACTGAGTCGCCTCATGCTACCGTACCTCTTCCCTGACCTTGCTGCCTTTCCCACTGTCGCTGACCTCTTTACCCACCTCCGCGCTAGTGACACTCGCTACCGAGCTGCGCTTCCTGCTGCCTTCTGCGCCGAAAACCCCCCTCCCATGTACATCACCCTCTACTTTCTAGTCACCCGTCTCCCTGAGTCCCTTCGTGCGGTTAGGGACCAGTTTCTCTCTGTCTGTCCCACCACCCTCACTGTCGACCTCCTTGAGGAGTCCCTGTTAGCGGCTGAGAAGAGCATAGTCGCTGTAGGGGCCTCTCGGGGTGACCCTCGCACCCCCATCTTTGAGGGGTGTTCTCCTTCCCCCCTGCTGCCCTCTGTTGCCTCTGCCGCTGCGGCCAACCTCGCTGGTTTTGAGTCGGTCGGTGCGGCGTCTGCCCCTAGCGGGAGACGCCGCTCTGGCAAGGGCAAGGGGGGCAAGGGAGCGGGTGGAGCTAGAGGAGGCAGTGGCGGAGGAGGTGGGGGTGGCGGGGGGAGTGGGGGTGGCGGTGGAGGTGGTGGCGGGAGTGGAGGTACTGGTGGAGGCGGTGGAGGCGGAGGTGGCGGCGGAGGCGGTAGCAGAGGAGGCGGGGGCGAGGGTACCGGTGGGGGCGGTGGCGGTGGAGACGAGGGTGGCGGTGGAGGCGGGAGTGGTGGTGGCGGCGGTGGTCGGAGTGGCTCGTCCCAGCGGAGCAGCTCTGGGGGTGGTCAGCGACAGCAGAAGCAGCAGCAGCAGCAGCAGCAGCAGCAGCAGCGCTCTCGCACCGTCCCCGCCCCTCAGCAGCTCCGTGAGTGGTACTTGCAGCGTCAGCGTGGTGGTGCGTTTGGTCCCTGCCCCTACGTTCTTCGCACCGGCGACCGTGCGGGGGAGAGGTATGGAGGCACCCACACAGCCCGCCGCTGCTTTGGCCGCCTGACCGACGCCTGGCGTCAGCAGTTTCCGGAGGCCGCTGAGATCCCCCGCTGGGGGGGAGCTGTCTAGGGCTGGTGTAGCTATGTATGATCTTGACTTTGATGCTATTCTTTCTGCTATGTATGCTGTGACTGGTAGTGATGAGGATGACTGTTACCGGTGTTTCCCGCCCGACCCGGGCATTGGTACTGCTGCGTCAGGTACTAGTGAGGCTGCTGCTCTAGGTGCCAGTGCGTCTGTGCTCTCAGGTACTGGTGAGTCTGCCCTCTTAGGTACTGTGTCGGCTTCGGCCTCTCACACCTTCAGCCTTGACTCTGGAGCGTCTCGCTCCTTCTTTCGGGACCGCACTACTCTCACGCCGCTGAGTCGGCCGGTTGCGGTGTCCCTGGCTGACCCCTCTGGGGGGCCTGTCCTGTCTCGCTTCTCCACGGTACTTCCGTGTCCAGCGGCCCCCTCTGGCACCCTGTCTGGTCTCTACCTCCCCTCGTTCTCGACGAACCTGGTGAGTGGTGCTGACCTACAGGATGCGGGTGTCCACCAGTTCACTCCTGCTCGTCAGCGAGTGACCCACTGCACGGAGGCTAGCACGGGACGCCACCTGGCTACGTTTACACGTCGGCCAGGGTCGAGCCTGTACACACTGACCACTGCTTCTCCTCCAGGTGCTGAGTCTGGTAGGGTCCCTTCGTCTGGTCAGGTGTTTGCCGCAGCGTCCAGGTCTGGTCCTGAGTCTTCCCCCTGTTCGTGTCGTCGTCTTTCTCACGAGACCCTCCTCTGGCACCACCGCCTTGGCCACCCCTCTCTGCTTCAGCTCAGAGGCATGGCCTCCCGTCTTCTTGTGTCTGGTCTCCCCCGGTCTCTACCTCCCCTTCCTCAGGGCCCTGGCCCTGCCTGTGTCCCCTGTGTCGAGGGGCGCCAGCGTGCTGCCCCTCACTCCTCCCAGTTTCCTCCGACAGAGGCCCCGCTGCAGACGCTTCACATGGACGTGTGGGGCCCAGCCCGCGTCCGTGGACAGGGTCAGGAGCGCTACTTCCTGCTCGTTGTTGACGACTACTCGCGTTACACCACAGTCTTCCCCTTGCGCAGCAAGGGTGAGGTTACTGAGGTGCTGATCGACTGGATCCGCGCAGCTCGTCTTCAGCTCAGGCAGAGCTTTGGCTCCGACTTTCCTGTGTTGCGTCTGCACTCTGACAGAGGCGGAGAGTTCTCCTCTGGCCTTCTGCGTGCCTACTGTCGGGCGCGAGGCATCCGCCAGTCCTTCACGCTTCCGGACTCCCCGCAGCAAAATGGGATTGCAGAGCGCCGCATTGGCATGGTCATGGACGTCGCCCGTACGTCCATGATGCATGCGGCTGCCCCCCATTTTCTGTGGCCGTTTGCGGTCAGGTACGCCGCGCATCAGATCAACCTCCACCCCAGGGTCTCCAGGCCGGAGACCTCCCCAGCCCTGCTGTGGACGGGGAAGGTTGGCGATGCGTCGGCGTTCCGGGTCTGGGGATCTCGGGCGTTTGTCCGCGACTTGTCTGCGGACAAGCTGTCCCCTCGCGCTGCTCCCTGCGTCTTCCTGGGGTTCCCCCCCGACGCCCCTGGGTGGCAGTTCTACCACCCCACCTCTCGACGTGTTCTGTCCTCCCAGGACGTCACGTTCGACGAGTCGGTACCCTACTACCGCCTCTTCCCCTACCGCACTCCGTCCCTCCCCCCACCCCCGCTCGTCTTGGTACCAGGTCCCCCCCCGGTAGCCCCCCTCCCCCCTCAGGGTCCTGCCCCTTCAGGTGTGTCCCAGGTAGACGCCTTCGAGCCTGTCGAGGTCACTGGTGACTCTGGTGCTGCTGCGGGAGCTGAGCCTGGGGGTGCGGAGTCTGGGGGTGCTGAGCCTGGGGGTGCGGAGTCTGGGGGTGCTGAGCCTGGGGGTGCTGAGCCTGGGGGTGCGGAGTCTGGGGGTGCTGAGCCTGGGGGTGCTGAGCCTGGGGGTGCTGAGCCTGGAGGTGCTGAGCCTGGGGGTGCTGTGCCTGGGGGTGCTGAGCCTGGAGGTGCCGAGCCTGGGGGTGCTGTGCCTGGGGGTACTGTGCCTGTGGGTGCTTCGTCTCGCCGGGAGCCACTCTCCCCACAGGAGCTGCGTGAGTGGTTTGCCAGGCGCTGGAGGCGTGCTGCTGGTGCTGGTGGTTCTTCGGCTGCAGAGGGTACTGCTGCCGCGCGTCCTGGCGGTGCTCGTACTGTGGGTGCTGGAGCTGCTGGGTCTGAGAGTTCTCCTGGAGCTGGTGCTGCTGAGGGTGTTGGCGCTGAG